GGGGGGGGGGGGGGAGGCGGAGTGGGGTGAGGAGAGGAGAGGCGAGGAGCGGTGGGTGTGAGGTGGGGCGAGGTGGGGTTGGGTGGAGAGAGTCGTTGCGGCGACCTGATCGACGCCGAACAGCCTCCCATATCTCCCCACATCTCCCCACATCTCCCATTATCTCCCACCTGGTCGACGCCGAGCAGCCGCACGCCTCTCAGGATGAAGGGGTAGACGCTCGTCGCTAGCTCGCCGCCTAGCCTCGCCCACACGGGGGGGGAGGTCAATCTCGCACAATCTCCGGCTGCACCCCTCGCCGACTGCCCGCCGCCTCCCGCGACACCCGGCGAGGCGACGGCGCCTAAGAAAGAAATACGCCGCGCGCGCTGCTGCTAGAGGGGAAACAGCGCTTGCCTCTCTGGCGAAGCGGCGGCGCCGCGATAGCGCGTCTGCGCGAGCGCTGCTGCCAGCGTGGCGCCGCCCACGCTGTCTACGACGCCAGCCTACAGCCGCGCGCCAACCATCAGGGGCGGGAGCACCGTCGCGCGCGGAGAGTTCGCGGAAGCTTCCGCGCGAATGCGAGGGGGAGGTGGGCCCATGTCGTGTGTGTGCTCAGACCGCCGCGTGAGCGAACACACGAGCTCGTAGCCCACAGCCCACAGCCCATCTTCCATAGAGAGGCGACTGTCGCGCTGGCCTTCCGTGGGACCCACCCCGTGCTGTGTTGCGCGTGTCTGGCTGGCGATCTCCCCATATCTCCCCAGATCTCCCCAGATCTCCCCGTGTGTTGCGCGTGTCTGGCTGGCGCTGTGTGCTGCCGCGCGATCTCGGGCCAAGGGCTGTGCTGTTGTGTGAGCACGAGGGCCACGAGCACGTGGACATGGGGAGATATGGGGAGATATGGGGAGATATGGGGAGATATGGGGAGATATGGGGAGATGTGGGGAGATGTGGGGAGATAGCACGAGGCCACGAACACATGGCCATGGGGAGATATGGGGAGATATGGGGAGATATGGGGAGATATGGGGAGATATGGGGAGATGTGGGGAGATAGCACGAGGCCACGAACACATGGCCATGGGGAGATATG